ATGGGACGAATCCCACCAGGTTTCTGTTAGCCCTACTAAGTCATAGGTGTTTTCTGCAAGCAGGAGTGCTAGTTCATCCTGCTTGTTCCCCATGCTCCTAGCATTAGTATATAGGCACTTGAGCCCTGTGACTGGTGCCTTTGCTGCCCTCCAGCTCCGAATCCCAAGGGGCCCCTTATTTCTTACCTACTTATTGCTTACCTGTGCTGTACTGCTGGCCGCCCCATGGCTTGCAGGTTCCCAATGTTCTCCTTCAGGCTGGGCTGTCCTTGTGGGTGTCACATGGTTTGGTGGTCCACACCTTCCCCCCACCCTCATCTTCCCCTCCCCCCGGATTGTGCAAGGGGTCTTAGAAAGGGGAAGAATGTCATGGTTTTCTCAGATGTAGAATCCTTTAGAATCCTTCTACCTGCCATATGAAAATAGAAAAACAAAATAATTTTTAAATATAATGCATTTAAAGCTGTTTAACTGAGTTATGAGGTATCCTTAAGCATAATCTATTAACTGTGAGACCTGGTTCATGAATTTTCCTCCCTTCTCCCCAGCCCTCATACTTGTACTTATGGATATGGGGTATTAAAGTAGGTAAATTTTAATTTATACTCCTTATTATAAATGTGATCTTTGTTTGGTTAAATCTCAGTAACTCCCAGTGTGAATACTCTTATTCATAATTAAGGTGGTTGTCATTTTCTTTACAAACTAAGCTAAGCTAGACCTGGTTTATGGTCACTTTAATTCAGAATAAGAGTGGGGCATTAATGTAATCTAATTAATGCAAGTAATTAATAAAAGCCCAAACACTGGAAAAAGAAGGAAGCAGATATCAGGGTTATTTTTCAGTTTATTAAATGATACAGAGAGAAATTTCAATAACTCTCCTCAATATTTGGTAGCGACACTTCTATTCTTTCAGTGCAAGAGCCCAACTTGTCTCTCCATGATTCCTAAATGTCTTGGTAGAGGCAAGCCTTTTGTTTTGCCTAAGTACTTCCTTTTCTAGGTGTAAAATACAGTATTTTAAATAATATAATCTCAATAAAATGCTAATACCTTACATAAAATAAGACCATTTGTTAATTTGAGCTGCTATTTTTGTTTTACCAGTGTTAATATTCAAAAGAATAAGACACTAATTTATTGAAGGAATGGAATTTACTACCCTAAGGGGTTGATAGCTCTAAAAGCTAAAAAACTTCACAAAAACTGAGGGTGGGGAGAGTTCTTTTTCTTTTTCTTTTCTTTTCTTCCTTCTAGTAAAAAAAAAAAAAAAAATCTTCACATTCTGTGCTTATGCTAGGGATCTCAATTGCTTTACAGACATTAAACCTCTTAATAGCATGCAGTTCAGTAAAAGATTTCTTCATTTTTCCATCTGACTGCAGGTATCTTTTAGTTTTACTTACTGCTTAGGAAAGTAATAAAAATATTTGATCTACTGTCCAGTCCTGTTTCAGGGTCTTGCATTTAATAGTCATTGGATAGAATGGATGGAAAAGAGTGGAGAAGTTTATCTCACCGGGGGTAAGGATCTAGCCTAGAATTCAGAACATGCTGTTTTCCAGAGCAGCATCCATTTCACTTAACCACAACATGCTAGCTTGTTTGCTTTCTCCTGACCTTATATCTACCTCATTTGGCTGCCCTTGGACCAACTTTAAAAGAAGTGCTGGGGAAGGGACTAGACATAATACCATCAAACTGTATGTAAATAGAAGAAAAATACTACAAGAGTCTGCCTTTGAACATACTGTATTTTCTTGCATACTACTCATCCCCAAATAAAATATGCTCCTTATTTTTGAAACGCAGAATGAAGAAAAAAGATCTTTCCTTAAGAACCTCTGCCAAGGGTAGGGGAGAAGAGAAAGTGTTCATAGATAGCTAGCAGCTAGAGAGCCCTGCATGCAGCATATGCAGCTTTACTTTTGCTTTTTCCTGTCAGAAGCTTAAGCATCCAAAACTGCTATTACCACATTTCTTTGGTTATAATGCATGTCCCAATTTCAATCAACTGAATTTTGGAAAAGAGTATCATGTGCAGGAAAATATGATAAACTATATGGTGGGAGTATCTCTCATTGCCACACTAGCTATATTAGAAGTAAGTTATGCCTGTAGGACTGTAATACTATATATTATTAAAAATGCCATTTAGTGAAAGATCAGACCCTTATTTTTATTTTATTGCATCAGTATCATTTGCAGGGAAGAAGGGGCACAAGATACAACTAGAGAAATAAGGTCACTTTACTTTTCCCCTCACATTCTGAGTTGCATAAAATTAGTAGTTTATCTTAACTACTTCAGTAGTTTGTAAGAATTTTTTCTCTCTCAATATAGGTCTCCATCTCAGCCTAGGGGATCTTCTCCAAAACCTCTCAGGCAACGTATTAAAAAACTTGAGGAAGAAAGTAAATTTAAGGTGCAGTATGGTAGTGGTCTTTTGTGTACATATGTCTGTTAATTTGGGTATGTAATACATATAATTTTTGCATGTGTTAAGTTCCCTTTGTCTTGGAAAAGGATACAGATTTGTAGAAATAATATTAGTAAAGTTATTGATTTGCATAAGTATTTTACAACTAATCAAGCAACTTGATCACATGAGTTTTATCTCCTGAAAGAAGAGCTATCTAAACAGAGACCTAAACAAAAAAGCAACATGAAAAATAAAACCAGCAAAGACGCTAGAAAAGAGAGGCTTTAACTTAGTTCAGTGTTTCCGAACCGGTATGCTACAGCATTTTGGGCTGGAGCCACACCTCCTGGCTGGCTAGAGCTACGCCCTCTGCCTGCTGCTGCTGCTGCAGACACAGACAGACGGGGGTGGGGGTGGGTCCTGCAAGGCAGGGGGTATGGCTCCAGCCCAAAATGCCAAGCGGGGCGCCGGCCCCCCCCCCCCCCCCCCCCCCCCCGGTTGGTGTCTGGCATGCCGTGGTGCTTCTTTATTTAGATAAGTGTGCTGTGGGATGAAAAAGGTTGGGAAACGCTGACTTAGTGAATCAAGACCCATTGAATTAATTGATGCATATATTTAAAAAAAAAAAAAAAAAAAGATTACTTATAGTTCCTGTAGACACTCAGGTAAAGGCATGATAGGATCTGGTGTATGATCCACATAATCAAGCTTCCTGCCATGCCGTGTGTGTGTGTCGCAGGAGGTATGATTGTAGGATCCAGCATTAGATCCTATCATGCCTTATTGTCAGTACAGGGGAAGTGTAGGATCACCATTCTGGACTCCCCCTGCATTCGCAAGTAACAAGCTCCTGCAGCAGTGAGTCCCATAGCTGATGGGACTTGCAGCCACAGCAGTGCCCCACAGCTACAGAAACCAAGTCCTGCAGCTGTGGACTCTGGGTCTGGGCAGTCTGGCCCCATGGCTGCCAGAACCCGGAGTCTGCGGCATTGGGCCCTGTCACGAGGAAAAATCCCATCAGCTGCACTGCACAACTCTCCCTCCCAGCAGTCATGGGGACCCAGAGTCCCACAACTGTGAGACTGTGGGGCATTGCCAGGACCCCATCCCACAGCTGTGGAACTCTGGGTCCCGGCAGCCATGGGGCACTGCCAGGAACTACAGTCTGCAGCTGCACGGCACTGTTGAGAGGGAAAATCCTGTCAGCTGTGGGGGACCCTCCCTTCTGAAAGCTACAGGGTGTCCCCTCAGCTGCAGGACGCCCAGTCCCACCTATGCATGATACCCCCCCATCCTGAAAGCTACGGGGGCGTCCCTTTCAGCTGCCAGAGCTCCCAGCCACGGGGGCAGATCCTGCTACGCTTGCAAATTAAAGCAGGGTAGATACCAACTATAAAGTTATTACACATTTTCCAGTAATAACTTTATAGCTAGTTGGACCTCTTCAAGGTGCAGTAGTTGATTTGAACATGTAGCTGGTCTCAATTAATTGCACAATTAACCCAGTAATTGGGTGATACATGTAATGTGTAGTGGGGCACCTTAAAACAAAAATACATGTGGATAAATCCTTCTTTTGTTTTTGCATTTCTGCTAGTCTGGGTACTGTAAAATAGCAATAAAGAAGTTTCACAATATAATTTATGGGTACTTAAAATTTGTTTGGAACATTCAAAAATGCTGTCATAAACCAAGATCTCTCTGTGACCAAGAAAAATTAAATAAGAGTCTGTATGGTATTTTGTTCTATTGTCCAGATAAAAATCAAAACTCATAGGCTGGGTACAGACGTTCAAAAAGCCTGAGGTGGAATTGATCTGTTACACGGTTTTCTGTAAACAGAGTAGTTTAGATCAGTAGCGAACAGAACACACATTTGACCTTTGGATGTGGAGGTGAGAGGGGCAAATCTTAGACTGCCATTTTTAAACCAGTCTGTGTGCGCTAAACTTCTGTTCCATTACGGGCACAGACCGATTTTGTGTGCCATTCTTCTGTTCTGTTACAGGTATAGACCAATCTCTGATCACTTGTACCAGTAAAAGTATAAAGTCTGTACCTGGTCATAGTTATTGTTAGATACTGTTATCCACATCATTTAAAAGAATGTCTTTAATATTACTGAAAATTTCCATTACATCTGTTTTTTAAAGAATACATTTTATAAGAAGTGTAGAGTTAAGGCTGTTTTTAGGGTTGTGGTGTAGTACTATCTAGTATTTTCATTGTGTATGGATGAGAGCTAAATGAAAACTGCTATCAAGTAGTTTATCAGGTGGATTCTAAAATAAAAGAGGGACAGGTTATGGATAAACTTAAAAGAAGTTAACTTATCAAGTTTAAAAACCACACTTAGCTAGTTTGAATTAATTGTTGAGTGCCCCTGTGTAGGTCTTGAATATGCTGGCGTTTTGTTTCTGACTAAAGCAAGGCATTAATTTATAAGTGTGATAGCTATTCCTGAATAGCTCCATGTAGGGATACTTATCCTGGAACTTCAGTTCTCCAGCAAAACTATAGCGTAAATTTAGGCTGAATTTTAGAGCTCTTAAGACATCAGACAGAGAAAGGTAGAAACAGGGTCTTTCGTAGGAATCTATTTACTTAGGTTGTAGATTCACTGTCCCTGGACATTTTCAAGAGCAGGTAAGTGGATATTTGACTAGGATGGTTTACTTGGGGATTATTTTATCTTGAGTAGGGGGCTGGACTAGATGACTTCATGAGATCGCCTCCAGCCCTAATTTCCTACAATCCCATGATCTTTCTGTGAATAAATCAGACTTTCAAAATCTACCTGGTGTAACTGTAGAGTTCTCTGTATGGCACAGTACAGTTCTGAGGAGAGAGACCCAAGCTAGCTGGAATTCCAGAAACAGTAGCTATTGGGGGGGTGTGGAGCGGGTCCTATTTGATTTGGATTCGGTCCGAATTGGGGACAGTGGTTCGAGTTGATTCGATCACTCTCCCTGATTCGATTCAGCTGAATCTGAAGATTCGATGCTAATTCAGAGAATTAGCCAGTTCAGTAGGGAGCAGGGAAATTAAATCGTGGTTGGTGACCATTGCTCTTTCCTAGAGTCACGTTATTAGCATGGAGTTGATCACTGGCCTGTGCATCTAAACTACTTTTAAACTATCCTTCACAATCCAGTTCTCTTGCGTGGAAAGTACTGTGATTTAGATTGAATTGCTTTGGGGATCAGAGTATCTGTGAGGAGGAATTAGTGACACATCCAGCACAGCAAAGAGAGGTAAGGGCTGTTCAAGAACTCCCCAACATCTGCTCTTATCTATACTTGCCTATTCCTTTTGAAGTCTGCTTAATTATACCGATGCAACGGAGGACAGAATTTGCCCCGTGGAATCTATATCAGTGACGACAAATGAACCAAGACAAAGCTTGACTCAAATTCCAGGTTGATTTGGTAGTGTTACATGCAGAAGAAGAAACACATTTTGGTAAAAACAAAACAAACTTGATTTGGAGTAATTGAGTTCATATTGCTATTTTTATTTAGCTTTCAGAGTTGAATTGATTCAGCTGAACTATTTAGCCAGGTGTCTGGTTTATGTGATGGAATTCATTTGTCTCTATATACTGCAGATAGATAAGATAGTGTTCTGGAGTACTGCTGAATTCTCATAAGGCTATGCAGATCTTTCTCCCCCTTTCCTTAGGACATTTATGACTTGTGACACAACAGCTGGAAAAGTCCTTTGACCTTAATTCTTTATAGGGAGATCCCTTTATTTATTTTTTTTAGGGTTTTGGGTTTTTTTTGTGAAGGATTGTAAATTTTGAAATTCATCTAATAAAGGTAGAATATCAAACGTATATTTTGCTCAGCTTCATATTAGATTACCCTTTGTCTGATTTCTTCCTGGGCGCTGTTTTGTATTTCACTTTTGACATGGTTCAGTTTGATTGGGAGGCTCAGACTAATGAAAGTGTCTTGTAAACAGAGGTGTAACTAGCAATTTTAGTGTCCTGAAATGCTGGAGGGGAAGGGTGTACTAAGTACCCACTGCTGCTGCTGCAATATGGCCTGCCCGGGTACAATCATTCTAGGGTCCCATCTAAATTGGTGTCCAGGGCTGGTGCCCTGCTTACCCTCCCTTAGTTATGCTACTGTATATGCTGATGGGCCCACTTTTCAAATGCTCTGTGTAAGGGTTGATTTGACATTAGACAGCTAGTCACCATGACAGCTGCTCAAAATAGTAAACAGATGCTACTAAAGAGCAAGACAAAAGAAAAACCTAGGACAGGAAAGTTTACACTGGGCTTTTAACATGATCAAATACGACTCTTGTTAAAAAGAGAGATTGGTATACAAATCAAACCAATCATTTTGTAGTACCTGAATTTTACTGTTAAGGCTTTTTCAAATTAGTTATAATATATTGTTATTTGTACATTAATGCTGTGTTTCACCCTAAGTAAGGATGTTTTAAGTTTTTTCATATTATAGATAAGGTGAGGGGAGATTATACTACTATCACTACAGCCATTCAGAATAATTTCCTAAATTAATTTTAAGGATTAAGGCTAATTTTGTTCATCCCTAACAGATGAAGCAACCCTTAATCAGGTCTCAGTTTGCATGTACATATAAAGATGACTTGACTAAGAAGAAGAGTCTGCATTTTTTCAGTAGCAGCAAAAGCCCAACTTGCATACACCCAGCACAAAAACAAGACCCCGTTCTCCCTCTAAAAGATGAACCTTTTGCAGGTAAATTGAAGTAGAACTGACTGACTGAGAAAATTTCATGCCTGATTTTTCACGTGATGTACCACTTTGTTATTATTTAAATACTATGACATCAAGCTTTTGTTAAAGTAAAATAAACTGAGGGTTTAATAGCTTTGCATATTCTATGATCAATACAACCATTTTGGCTTCAAAATTATTCTTTTAGATTACTACATATATAAGGTATGAATTATGTAAATTACGATTAAGATCTTAATATGTTATTTTTTTCCAACATTTTAGAATGTATGTACTTGTTTCCCAAAGGTTCAGAAGTTATATTTATGCATATGCAATGTAATTTTAAAATTAACAGTAACATTTTCATTGCTGATATATTACGGGGGTTAGTGGATAGTTAGACTGCTTTTTTTAATATATTTATTTATATATTATTAAACATTCATGGCTTATGTCATTTTAATCACAAGACTATCAAAATTAACTTTTTCCTTTCCTTAAATATGTTTATTCTCCTACATAGCTGAAGGTATGAATTCAGATTTTGAAAGACAAGCATTTGGAACTAAATCTGAAAATATTCACCAGAATGGAAGTAAAAGTAAAAAAGAAGATGCAAAGCTGAGCTGTCAGCTAAGAAACAAGAGCACAAAGAGGAAACAAGTGGATCTGAATAAAGAAGTCATCTGTAATAATGATAATGAACCATCTCAGGATACAAATATTAAGAGACCTAAGACTTCAAACAACCCTCAGAAGAAATTGGACAGCAAATTGGATAGAGCAGGAAAAAGCAACAAAACTACAGCCAAGACTAAATTGATTGCTGGTCAGGCAAAATTAACTCATTTTTTTAGATTATGAATCTTATTTTTATTTTGACATATATAATTGTTTTACTATTACATAATAAACATGGTAAGTTTTGCAAGAACAAGACAACAGATGCACAAATACCTTGACTTCATTGTGTATGGTAATGTGAGTAGCATACATATACTATTAAACAAATATCGACAAATCTGAATATGCAGAATTTTCTGTTTTAATAATGATACCACATCATTTTTACAGCTAGGTTACTTGATGATCATTGATAATGTTTCCCTCACCTTGAAATACAGAGACTAGTACCTAGATTTAAGCGTATAACAATAGCAAAACACAATAACTTCACGTTTCTTTAAACTGGCAACCAAATAATTTAATCTCCTTCAAGGAAGGTGAGGCTGGCCAGCAATTTTCAGACTTGCCAACAAGGTCGATAGACTCTTCCCAACATACACCTGAGCACTGAAAAAGAAAAAAAACCTCCAAAAGTTTAAATTGTAAAAATGGGATGCATTATAGTGACATCTAGCAAGATTGTTAATTTTTAACAAATAAATATACCTGAAATAGTCCAACTAAATATTTAATTTGATTATATTCTATTAACACATTGTACATTGATAAACACTGGCACATAATTTCCAAATTTCCTTTTTCAAACATTTGCAAGTATAATCTTATTCAACTAAACATATATACTGCATTACGTCAAAGTTAAAGTGCAAGTATACTTACTGTCAAAATCTCTCCTTCCTATAGGAAACTTAGCAGAATTTTCTTCATCACCAACCTCTCTTCTTTCCTGTATTGATTCAGTAGTCTTTATTTCGGTGTCAGCTGGAAAAGCTACTGATCCCTTCAGGGCAAGATAAGGTAGCTGTTTTATAGCCAGGTTCAGCGGCAGACTGTGGCTTATGAAATTATGTTTGGAACCTATATTCTGGATTTTAAAAGGACTGATTAAAATTTTAAAGACTGTTACCCTTGTGCTTAGTCTTCATCAAGAAAGTAAGTAGTGCAACTGAAGATGATCTTTAAAAAGTAAACATCATCATACAATAGATGTTAATTGAATACTGTTGTATTTTAAAAAGCAAGTTAATAGAATATGTGTAATCAACCTAATTGTTTATTATGGTTATAAACCTCCTTCATATACCAACTGGCTGAGACCAGAATATGCATTATTAAAAAATAAAAAAGAAAGAAAAAGAGAACTACATAAAGTAAGCTGAATTCGACCCCCCGACATACACACAGTCCTGATCACCTACATATCTTTTTAGAATAAGATACCTTTTGTTACCCAAATACAGATTAATATGCCTAATATTAGATGCATGCAATTAAAAATTAGCCTATGAACATACACTAAGTTGCAGAAATGAGTGATTGCAATTATCTGCCAAAGCATCCTTTATAAGTGAAAAGTATTTATCTCTTAAAATGAGTCTTTATTTACATTTGGAGTTGATTAAGAAACAGAAACTCACAAAGAACTTTGGGTTTCTGTCTTCCTCTTCATCCTGAAAACTAGCATCTTCCATCTTATAGTGCTCAAGAGAAGGTGTACCCCCTGTCTTCTCTGTTTTATCTCCATTCCGCAGAGATTTTCCTAGAGTGAAGGTGTTTAGTAGCATGTCGTCATCATCTACCTTCTGCAGAGACTTTGAAACTGAAAATAGAAAACCTTGGGAAAGAAGAGAGAAAGTTAGTATTAACATGTAGGATGAGAAACACATTCTTAGTTGCTTAAAGTTGGCATAGCAGTTAAATGGCTTCAGAGATTTAAGACGGGTTTCCCTTGCAAATTAACATGGTCTCCAGCTATGCCTATCCTTATATATTTCACAGAGTGAATAGAAACCACTTCAGTGGCTTATGAGTTCATTCTTTATGAGTGACTCATAATAAAGAAGATAACCTTTTGTATAGTACTTGTAATGCCATATGCTACTTAAGTATATATATTTTTTTAACATGGATAATTAGTTTCTTTGTAGACTTTTAGGGCAGTACAGCTTAGTAGTTTCTTTTAATGGATCAATTTAACAAAATTCACAGGATATAATCTCAATTTATGGTCCTGATTAAAGCAGGCCTTAATTTCCACTTAAGTAGTTTTAGAAAAGAACTAATTTACACATGAGAAATACCATCCATAGAGTAATTTTGTTTTAAAGATTATTATTTTATATTTTAAAGTAGAACTGACTTTTTAAAATAACTTTTAAATGATGTAATTGAAAATGTTAACAATTGGCAATGACTTGACATTATCATTGGCTTAACAGAGGTAAAGCTGAAACCTTTAATGAATTTTTGTGTCCTGTATATATGATACCTTTATATAAAGATATCAGTTAGAAATCCTCACTGATGCCTTTGTTACACTTGTTAGACTTTGAAGCTGAAAGGAGAACAGTATCCCAAACAGTAGCATCATATATTCAGGTGTTCTGTCATTTTGGATGTATCAAAAATTCTTGCCCTCTTTCTCTTCCTCTAAACAAAGAAATTCAAGTTTTACTTAAAATTTACTCTCTTATATTTTCAAATAGAATTGATTTTTTTTCCAAAGGTAGAACCCTATAATAAAGTATTTTATTCAGAAACAGGATAATGCTGTAGAGGAGGATTTGTTGTTGTTGTTATTTTTAGGGATTTTTCCATATTATCCTACTGGAGCAGTGTGGCGTCCCCTGTGGGAAAAGTGCATGGAACCTCCCCAATCTTAGCATATCCCTTTTTATAAAACAAAATAAAAAAGTGACATCAGAGCCAGCTGTATAGTATGGCTGTTTATCTTTGCACTGGTTCTGGCTCCCACATTTATTCTCATTCCGAGACAGAGAGAGTGTGTGTCTCCAGCTAGTAGGAGAACCTTCCTAGACTGTCAGGAACCTGGCCCAAGCAGCCAACTAAGCACAGAGTGAGAACTGTCCTTTTCATCTTTTCTAATTTTCTTTTTAACATACCTTTTTATGCATCCTCATACTTTAGGTAAAAGTTACTTTTGCATCAAACAGCTACAGTTCTCTCTTGCACTA